TTTTGTAAACTTCATGGCTACTCCGTGCTATTCAAGCTTGCTAATGGCAACATTCACATTTGCTTTAAGCAGACAAGCTTTCTCCCACCCTGGACATTCCACAGATAGGTAAGTAGCAGGCCTGTAGCCAGAATTTTGATTCGGGGATGGGGGCTGAGTTTGATTTGGGGGGGGGGGGCTGAGTCTGAGTGAGAGAGGATCTACCCTAGCAAACCTTTTGTATTATCCCAATACTCTCATGCATATGGGATATATTGAGCATGGTGATCAGATCATGATATGATTAAATATAACAGTTTAAATAATGTACCAGTAAGGCCTTCTCGTGGACACATTGAGATTTGGGGGGGGGGGGTTGAAGCCCCTCAAGCCCCCCCCCCCCCGGCTACATGCCTGGTAGGTAGATAGGTACAGACACACACACACACACACACTCCACTTGCTTCAGTGCCAACAGAACTTCTGAAGATATCAGCCACATATGTAGGTGAAATCAAGAGAGAATGCTGCTGGAACATGACCATACAGCTCGAAAATTTCACAGCAACCCAGTGATTCTGGCCATGGAAACCTTCAACAACACATGGTATAGTGGTTTGAGTATTGACTACAACTCTGTAGACCTGGGTTCGACCCCTCACATGGCTATGGAAACCAACCATTGAGCAGGTCCCATACTCAGATAGGTTCACCTTAGGGTTGGTATAAGTTGGAAACAATGTGAAGGTGCACATAGGCTGAGAGTGTGCACCTTGGCCCAAGTCACCCAGTGGGATTCCATCTCTGGAAGTGTTGGATCCCGGCCTCCTTGAATCCTAGTCCAACACGTAAACCATTATCCTCTGCTGTCTCTTTGAATGGTTTTCTCCTGACCTTGTGATGCATCGTGAGCAGGATCTGACCCACAGAAAGCTCTCTGGCAAAAGCAAACAAGGCGGCTTGAGGGTTTTCGCTTGCGCTTGGATCTCTCCTTCCTGATGGATGGGGAGAAAGAGTTTCTGCGTTGTAATAAAGAGACTCCAGCTGTTATTCATCTCTGTCTGTCGCTGACAGTAAGCTTAGGGGAGAGGCAAGAGGTGGCATATTTTACAGCTTCACTTCTGGAAGGAAAAATAATGGTTCCGGCCTTAGAAACACACCGGTGAATAAATCTACTCTTGATCTTTGCAACCAGGATACAATTCAGAAGCTCACAGGTCCAGTGAAACTCCTGGGAGTTTGGAAAGGGCTGTTGCACCGTGCACAGCAGTAGGGATTACACTTTAACTGCCATTGCTCCATCCTATGTCCCTGGGATTTGTAGTTCAGAAAAAGGTTTTGGAGATGGAGAGCTCCTATCATGTCCCACCAAAGTGTAAATACTGGAAATCCATATGATGCAGCCATGGCAGAGAAATCAAAAGCAAACTGCAACTAGACAGGGGGAGTGTGTCCCTGTTGGTTCTGCTGGACCTCTCAGCAGCCTTCGATACTGTCGACCATGATATCCTTCTGGGACGCCTCGTAGAAATGGGCCTTGGAGGCACTGTTTTGCAGTGGCTCCAGTCCTTCCTAGAGGGTTGCTCTCAGAAGGTGTTACTGGAGACACCTGTTCTACCCCACAACCATTATCTTGTGGGGTTCCTCAGGGTTCAATATTGTCTCCCATGTTGTTTAACATCTACATGAAGCCGCTGGGGGAGATCATCCGGAATTTCGGGGTTCGGTGTCATCTGTAAGCGGGTGATGTCCAACTCTGTCACTCCTTTCCACCTACTACTAAGGAGGCTGTTCAGGTCCTGAACCGGTGCTTGGCCACTGTGACGGTCTGGATGAGGGCGAACAAATTGAAATTGAATCCAGACAAGACAGAGGTACTCCTGGTCAGTCGTAAGGCTGAACAGGGCATAGGGTTACAGCCTGTGTTGGACGGGGTTACACTCCCCCTGAAGACGCAGGTTCGCAGCTTGGGTGTGATCCTGGACTCATCGCTGAGCCTGGAACCCCAGGTTTCAGCGGTGACCAGGAGAGCTTTTGCACAGTTAAAACTTGTGCGCCAGCTGCGCCCGTACCTTGGGAAGTCTGACTTGGCCACGGTAGTCCACGCTCTGGTTACATCCCGTATAGACTACTGCAACGCTCTCTACATGGGGTTGCCTCTGAAGACTGCTCGGAAGCTACAAATGGTCCAACGATCGGCAGCCAGGTTGTTAACAGGAGCGGCACTCAGGGAGCACACCACTCCTCTGCTGCGCCAGCTCCACTGGCTGCCAATTTGCTACCGGGCACAATTCAAAGTGCTGGCTTTAGCCTTTAAAGCCCTAAACGGTTCTGGCCCGACCTATCTGTCCTAACGCATCTCCTCCTATGAACCAGTTAGGACGTTAAGATCGTCTGGGGAGGCCCTGCTCTCGATCCCGCCGGCTTCACAAGCACGCCTGGCGGGGACGAGAGACAGGGCCTTCTCAGTGGTGGCCCCTCGGCTGTGGAACGCCCTTCCTACAGACATTAGATCGGCCCCCTCCTTATTGGCATTCAGGAAGAGAGTGAAGACCTGGCTCTTCGAACAGGCTTTCAACTAAGCAGTGCAATTGATTGATTACTGGAATATGGATTAATGGACAATGAGATCGGATGCTGATTCTATTGATGAGACGTGATGGATTGTTGTTTTGCTGTATTGTTGTATTGATGTTTTGATTTTAATTAATTGATATTACTGTTTTAAATGATTAATGATTTTGTACTGTGTTGTTGATACTGGTTGTTAACCGCTCTGAGTCGCCTGATGGCTGAGAAGAGTGGTATACATGTGAAGTAAATAAATAATTCTGTTGTGTAGAAGGTCCCCAAGACCCTGCTAGGAAAGGAATCCGTGATTATTTGAGAAGGCTCAACTTTTAAAATGAAATGTAGGTGTCTCTAATGACTCCCTTCCTGTAATTTCAATATCTTCTCTCTTTGGAAGATGATGCATTTTGTTGTGTTGGGGCTTTTTAAATAAAATGTGCCCTTAGTATCCACTGCAGTATTTTCTTGAACTTACCTTGGAAACAGGAATTGGTGGATAATAGTAAACCCTACTGAAAGGAATGACTGTGCCAGAAGTCACTCTATGACAATGCCTGGCTTGAGAGCAGTCCGTGTGAAAAAGATCTTGGAGTCCTCGTGGACAACATGTTAAACATGAGCCAACAATGTGATGTGGCGGCAAAAAAACCCAATGGGATTTCAGCCTGCATCAAGAGGAGCATAGTGTCTAGATCTAGGGAAGTCATGCTCCCCATGCTCTATTCTGCCTTGGTTAGACCACACCTGGAATATTGTGTCCAATTCTGGGCACCACAATTCAAGAGAGATATTGACAAGCTGGAATGTGTCCAGAGGAGGGCAACTAAAATGATCAAGGGTCTGGAGAACAAGCCCTATGAGGAGTGGCTTAAAGAGCCGGGCATGTTTAGCCTGAAGAAGAGAAAGCTGAGAGGAGATATGATAGCCATGTATAAATATGTGAGAAGGAGTCATAGGGAGGAGGGAGCAAGCTTGTTTTCTGCTTCCCTGGAGACTAGGGCGCAATGGAACAATGGCTTCAAACTACAAGAGAGGAGATTCCATCTGAACATGAGGAAGAACTTCCTGACTGTGAGAGCCGTTCAGCAGTGGAACTCTCTGCCCCAGAGTGTGGTGGAGGCTCCTTCTTTGGAAGCTTTTAAACAGAGGCTGGATGGCCATCTGTCAGGGGTGATTTGTATGCAATATTCCTGCTTCTTGGCAGAATGGGGTTGGACTGGATGGCCCAGGAGGTCTCTTCCAACTATTTGATTCTATGAGTGATTCTATGATTCTGACACAGTCATTCATTTCAGTAGGGTTCACTGTTATTCCACGTCTACACAGCTTTGTTGTTCATTCATTCAGTCATCTCTGACTCTTTGTGACCTCACGGACCAGCCCACGCCAGAGCTCCCTGTCGGCCGTCACCACCCCCAGCTCCTTCAAGGTCAGTCCAGTCACTTCAAGGATGCCATCCATCCATCTTGCCCTTGGTTGGCCCCTCTTCCTTTTGCCTTCCACTTTCCCCAGCATAATTGTCTTCTCTTGGCTTTGCTGTCTCCTCATGATGTGGCCAAAGGACTTCATCTTAGCCTCTAGTCTCCTTCCCTCCAGTGAGCAGTCGGGCTTTCTTTCCTGGAGGATGGACTGGTTGGATCTTCTCACATTCCAAGGCACTCTCAGAACTTTCCTCCAACACCACAGCTCAAAAGCATCTATCTATCTATCTATCTATCTATCTATCTATCTATCTATCTATCTATCTATCTATCTATCAGCTTTACCCCACTTTAATATTCCCTGGCTCAATTCCATGGAGTCCTGGGAGTTATAGTTCTACAACAGCATTTCTCAAACTGGGGATCATGGCCCCTGGGGCAGTCGCAAGGGGGTTGTCAGAGGGGTCACCAAAGACCATCAGAAAACACAGTATTTTCTGTTGGTCATGGGGTTCTGTGTGCCAAATTTGATCCAATTCAAAATGCTCATTGTTTGTAGGTGAACTATAAATCCCAGCAACTAAAACTCTCAGGTGTCAAGGTCTATTTTCCTAAAACACCACCAGTGTTCACATTTGGGCATATTGAGTATTCATGCCAAGTTTTGTCCAGATCCATCATTCTTTGAGTCCACAGTGCTCTCTGGATGTAGGTGAACTACAACTCCCAAACTCACGGTCAATGCCCAAACTGGGCATGCGTACTCAGCAGCATAGTAGCCAGGCGCAAGGGCAGATGTCTTCACTGTGTCTGGTTGTGATCCCCAAGTTGTGCCAGTCAGCTTTCATATGATATTGTTTCTAGCGCCCACTTTTTGCTTGATATTCAGGCAGTGCTTCTTGTAGGTCAGATGTGGTCCACCAGGTTATTCTCTTGTTTTCTGCCAGTTGTCTGAACTTATAACCAGTTGGGGGAAAGCAATATCTGCAATTTTTCTATTACCTTCATAATTGTTTTTCTTTTTCCTAGGGCAATGAAAGAAAACTCAACTTGGTGAGTGGAGAAAATCAGGAGGAAGGAATTTTGTAACTCAGCTCAGTGACTTCCAAGGAGGGCGAGCTGCTCCCAGGCAAGAACTGGTACGTGGAGTCTCATTTGCGTACTTTTGACGAACTTCTTCTATTCCAGAATGAGCACACCTCTTGCTCTTCGCTTTTTAGGCAGGAAAAACTCATTGACTGAAAGGTCTCAGGTTAGAATCTGCGGGGCGGTGTAAGCTCCTGTTATCAGCCCCAGCTTCCGCCAACCTATCAGTTCCAAAACATGCAAATGTGAGTAGATCAATAGGTACCACTCCGACGGGAAGGTAACAGCATTCCATGCAGTCATGCCACCCATATGATGGAGGTGTCTACAGACAATGCTGGCTCTTTGGCTTAGATATGGAGATGAGCGCCAACCCCCAGAGTTGGACACGACTGGACTTAATGTCAGGGGAAAACCTTTACCTTCAATAATATGCAGGGGTATGCAAAATTCTGTTGGATTTTGGATAATTTCGGAGATCCGGCACTCAAACCACCAGAAACGAACCAGGAAGGAGCCCGGAACAACAAACAATCCACCTAAACATTCAGGAAAGATTACTTGATTCAGACTTATTCTGATTGTTTGCTTGTTTTGCAAGCACACGCAGCAATCTCTGCATGCTAGGGACAACGGGGCTGAGTGGTGAATGCAACCATCACGTATCTCAGCCAATCACAGGCTTGGTTCTGTCCATTCTCCTCCCCCTTTGTGGCATGCGCTCTTTTGGACTTCAAATGCCAGAAATCCCTGTTGTAGTTTTTTTTTTAAGTTATTGGTAAAATCCTTTTTAAAATTCCAAAATATCAGTGGATGGGTGAAATGTCATTATTATTATTATTTGGAAGTTTTCTATACCGGGCTTCTCATCTCAAACGAGGGACTCAGGTCGGTTTACAGCATATATGCAAATACAATAATATACAGGTACAACAGAGTGCAACATCATTACAGATTAAAATAGTACAATAAAGTATAATAAAAACCTGAAACTTGTCAGGAAACTTGCCAGACTTGCAGCCATAAATATGTCCATGTGAAAAAGATCTTGGTGCCTCTTTCTTCTGCTTTGGTCAGGCCTCTTTACCTGGAATCACACTGTGTCCAATTCTGGGCCAAAGATTTTTCCGATTGAAGCAGAGAGTGTTTGAGGACCGGGACATCCATAGAAATACCAAGGTGCTTGTCTATAAAGCTATTGTCCTCCCAACCCTGCTATACGCCTGCGAGACGTGTACTGTCTTCAGACGTCACATGCAACTCCTAGAATGATTCCATCAGTGCTGCCTCCGAAAAATCCTGCACATCTCTTGGGAAGACACGCGGACAAATGTGAGCGTGCTGGAAGAAGCAAAGACCACCAGCATTGAAGCGATGCTCCACCATCAACTCCACTGGACCGGCCACATTGTCCAGATGCCCGACCACTGTCTCCCAAAGCAGTTACTCTACTCTGAACTTAAGAACGGAAAACGGAACGTTGGTGGACAGGAAAAGAGATTGAAAGATGGGCTCAAAGCCAACCTTAAAAACTCTGGCATAGACACTGAGAACTGGGAAGCCCTGGCCCTTGAGCGCTCCAACTGGAGGTCAGTTGTGACTAGCAGTGCTGTAGAATTTGAAGAGGCACGAATGGAGGGTGAAAGAGAGAAATGTGCCAAGAGGAAGATGGCGCATCAAGCCAATCCCAACCGGGACAGCCTTCTACCTGGAAACTGATGCCCTCACTGCAGGAGAACATGCGGATCAAGAATAGGGCTCCACAGTCACCTACGTACTCATCGCTAGTACACCTATCTTGGAAGACAATCCTACCTGGAAAACAAGGGATCGCCTAAGTAAAGTAAATAAGCCCCACAGTTCAAAAGAGATATTGACTCTAGGTTGGAAGGTGTCCAGAGGAAGAGGTCTGGAAACCAAGAATAATCCCACTGAGGAGCGTCTTAAAAAACTGGGTCTGTTTAGCCTGCAGAAGAGAAGGTTGAGAGGAGACATGAGAGGAGCCATGTATCAATATGTGAAAGGGTGTCATAAGGAAGGGAGGGGGCTTCCTTTCTGCTGCCCTGGAGACTAGGACTCAATGGAGCCATGGGTTCAAATGGCAGGAAAGGATATTCCACTGAATATTAGGAAGAATTTCCCTCTGTAAGAAGAGTTGTTCAACAGTGGAACTCTCTGCCTCAGAGTGTGGTGGAAGCTCCTTCTTTGGAGGCTTTTAAACAGAGGCTGGGTGGTCATCTCTCAGGGACGTTTTGTGCTTTTCCTGCATGGCAGGAGGTTGGACTAGATGACCCATGTGGTCTCTTCCAACTCATAGAAGCATAAGAGTTGGAAGACTCTTTCAACTCATAGAAGCATAGAATAGCATCCAAGAGTTGGAAGAGACCTCATGGGCCATCCAGTCCTATCCCATTCTACCAAGAAGCAGGAATATTGCATTCAAATCACCCCTGACAGATGGCCATCCAGCCTCTGTTTAAAAGCCTCCAAAGAAGGAGCCTCCACCACACCCTGGGGCAGAGAGTTCCACTGCTGAACGGCTCTCTATTATTCTATGATTCTTGCAGACTAAGAATTGGATTTTTCAGGGGAAAGAGGTCTGGTATGCTGTGCTGGACTCTTGTTGTTTAAGTTGTTTATGTTCTTAATGTGCTTTTGGTTGTATGGTGGTTTGTTTGCTTTTTCACAGATGTGGATTTCTGACTATCACGAGCCCTTGGTGTCCCTTTGTCCTTTGTGGGAGTGGGACTGGATTGTGCCAAATGGGAATAGATTGTGCCGAGTGATAACACCCCAGACAGCCATGCAACCAGCTTGGCTTTCTAGTTTCGAAGCAGTCCTTGGCCATATATGGCTAAAGCCAAGAGCTCTTGGCTGTTGCCTACCCAACCCATAAGTTTCCTGTTTGAAGGAAAACAGTGCTCTGCTTTCATGGTCTCCGCTTTTGCATCTTGTTCCTGTCCAAGAATGGCAGGGTTGTGCATTTTTTAGATGGTAAGTGCTCAGTTCTTGGAAAGCACCTCCTCAAGATGACTCTGTCTCCTGTCCCTCCAAGTAGGGTTATCAAGATGTGATTGTCTTTGGAATGCATCTCTGCACCTTGCAGGGAAAGTTTCCATCTAGGGAATCAGTCCACCAAAGGAGGATCCTGTTGGCAAAGTCCAGGGCTCTGTGGCGTCCTTCCTTTGGCCGGAAATGGGACTCATGGCTTGCTTTCGAATCCAGCTGTTTGTGAAGAGAGAGTGTGGCTGATGGACAGATTGCTTGGGGTTAGGAATGGGGGAACCTATGGCGGCCGGCCGAGGCCACACAGTGCCTTGTGGGTAAACATCCGGGAGTTAAGGAGGAAGCAGATGCAAAGGCACATTTTTTGCCAGCTGGGCACATTCCTCTTATGCTTTCCCAGTTTGAGTTGAGAAATATGTGAATGTGTTTATAGCACCACAGCTCCCATTATCTCCAGCCAGCATGGTAATGGATTCTGTTGACTCAGGAAATCTATTATAATTTTACCAAGACTGGCTCTTTTTCATAGAATCATAGAATCCTAGAGTTGGAAGAGACCTCCTGGGCCATCCAGTCCAACCTCTTTCTGCCAAGAACCAGGAATATTGCATTCAAAGCACCCCTGACAGATGGCCATCCGGCCTCTGTTTAAAAACCCCAAGGAAGGAGCCTCCACCACACTCCGGGGCAGAGAGTTCCACTGTTGAACAGCTCTCACAGTCGGAAAGAGAGATATTTACAAGCTGGAATGTGTCCAGAGGAGGGTGACTAAAATGATCAAGAGTCTGGAGAACAAGCCCTATGAAGAGCAGCTTAAAGAGCTGAGCATGTTTAGCCTGAAGAAGAGAAGGCTGAGAGGAGATATGATAGCCATGTATAAATATGTGAGAGGAAGCCACAGGGAGGAGGGAGCAAGCTTAATTTCTGCTTCCCTGGAGACTAGGACACAGAACGATGGCTTCAAACTACAGGAAAGGAGATTCCATCTGAACATGAGGAAGAACTTTCTGACTGTGATATACATGGCTATCATCATATCTCCTCTCAGCCTTCTCTTCTTCAGGCTAAACATGCTCAGCTCTTTAAGCCGCTCTTCACAGGGCTTGTTCTCCAGACTCTTGATCATTTTAGTCGCCTTCCTCTGGACACATTCCAGCTTGTAAATATCTCTCTTCCCGACTGTGAGAGCTGTTCAACAGTGGAACTCTCTGCCCCAGAGTGTGGTGGAGGCTCCGTCTTTGGAAGCTTTTAAACAGAGGCTGGATGGCCATCTGTCAGGGGTGATTTGAATGCAATATTCCTGCTTCTTGGCAGAATGGGGTTGGACTGGATGGCCCAGGAGGTCTCTTCCAACTCTTTGATTCTATGATTCTATGACTCTGGAACGTGGCTAGACAGCCTGGAAAACTCACAACAACCCAGATTTGCATTATGTTTGCATTATTATGTTTTATTATGCTTTAAACTGTTTTCACTTTGCACTTTGAAAAACGTGCTTTCGGTTTTCTTTTCTTGGTGCATTAAGGTTCAAGAAGTACAGTCAACTCCTCCACCTTTGTAGGTTTGCTTATTGCTAGGACTTCTGGTGCAACTTCTGGCAGAGGTTGACTATAGGGCAAGCATGGGCAAACTTCAGCCCTCCCTGTGTTTTGGACTTCAACAGTGATCTCACCAGAAGCAGCTCCTTGTTGCACCATCGATATCTGCTTCCTGTGATATCTATCATTCAGTCCTACGGCTTAAGTGTTTGGCCTTCAGAACTCAGAGTCTGGGAATGCATCTATATTGTAGAATGAATGCAGTTTGATACCTCTTGAAGTGCTATGATTCCAGGCGTTTGAATCCTGGGAGTTTTAGTTCCTCAAGGACTTTCGCCTTCTTTGCCAGGATCCTGCAGTTAAAGGGACATCAAACTGCATTCATTCTACAGTGCAGATGCAATATGCTTTGTAACCCCTCACTACTTATGAGGATGCTTGCCATAGATGTAGGTGAAACGTCAGGAGAGAATGCCTCTAGAACATGGCCATATAGCCCGAAAAAACCT